CGCTCGCAATGTTACGATGCCGTAATCCATCTGAGCCGATCTCTAGCGCTCCGTATCTGTGGTGGTTATCCTCTCTGGAATGTTCTCTCCTTTGGCTGTTATCCTTTTACACGTCTCACCCAATGGCCATCTTCCCTTCTCATGACGTGTCCTGCTCATGCCCACATATTTTCCATTACACCCAACACCGTGTGATATCCTTCATGTATTTTGTGTTTGTTCTCTGATCCTAATTTTATCTTTTGAGTGCAATTCTCAGGAAGCATCTCTCCACACTTCTTTGTGTGCTTTTTAGCACATGTTTCTGATCCACATGTCAAAAATCGAAATATTGATTCATAACAAAATATATATTTAGGCATATCCATATGTTGCTTTTCATGATCAAATCAATAATCACACTCCAGTTATTTCCTTCCAACAATACGGGAGTTTGTGATTGAACTTGTTTCGTAATTATAATTTTTAACCCAACTTTGCACCCTTCTTTGTTAAGGTCTTCAATAATTTCCCATGGCTCATATTCATTGGTTAATATACAGTATAATGATTATGTCAACAAAAGTCACAGGTATGTAACAGGTCCCTGCAGGGTGGGCTGGTAGGAACATTGGAATTTTGCGCAATTATATTTTTACACCCGAACAGCACGAGATTTCACTTCGTTAAAAGTATTGAAAGGGGACGGACGGACGGACACATTCATCTATTGCAGGCTGGTACATTCTGTTTACAACTTCGTTCCTACCAGTATAATCACAGCATCTATATTTCTGTGGTTGCATGTGTAATACTGTATGTGTAAATCGTAGTCTAAGTGACCAAAAACGAATTCTTTGTTTATCGTGAGGTAAGGCTGCTGGTATTATTCTCGACAAAGAGGGCACTACATGACAGCCCATTAATTATTGCCACCAAACGCATCACTGTGATATATAACTTCCACCAACAGGGCTCATTTACAATTTGGTAAAACCGTAACAAAAGGGAATTATACATTTATAATCTAAAGGTCATCATCAGCCAAGGTCAAGCCACTGCTGGATAAAAGCCTCCTCAAGCTGCCGCCATCTCTCACGATCCTGCGATAATAATAAAACTATTTCAACTTGAAATGCACACAGCATTCTCTTGCTCTCGAAGTGAGACACATAGAACGACTGAGAGGTGCGAGCGATGAGCTGGCACCAACAATTTCCCAAGCTCTACAGTCCTCCATATAAGAGGTGTTTTTTAGCCAATAAATGAGCATTTACATGTGGGGGGGGAAAAAAACTCACGCGTGCGAGGGGGCAACACTCTATCCCACAACAGATGGGAAGAGTTGGGAGTCTAAATTTCCCCCTCCTGGCGGGCACCTTGACACTCACGCGAACTAAAGTTAACAGACACGACAGCACCCCGACTTGTACACGCACGGCAGACTGCTCACCTGGGTTTTACATTTTGACAACTCCACTTTGCCGGCTGCACCATCTACCTGGCGTCCGTCTTTGTGTCTTCAACGCCGGAGACAAACGTACGACCAAAGAAAAACAATTGCAGACTCGGCGTTCCAAAAAAAATAACTGCCTGGCGCTCGTGACTTATGAACGATGCGAAGACGACAAAAAAACAACACACACACGCGCACGTGATACACAATACCTGTAATCGGTGAACACGGAACAGAGGCGCAGGAGCATAAGATAGGTGAACAACGAGCAAGGGGGATGCAGCGAATCCACCGGCAGACAAGAGACAGAGGGCCGCCGCCGTTCCAAGGTCTCTCCTTTGCAGTTGCCAAACGATAGTGTGGTAATCAAAAAACAAGGTGGGTGGGGAGGTGGTGGTGGTGGTTGAGTTTGAGCCGGAGGATAAGAATAGACACACTGAGCGGGAAAGGCAGGTTTTTTTTTGGTGGGAGAGGTTGAATGGGTCTTGCATGGATGAGTGGGTGAGTGGGGGGTGGGTGAGTGGGGGGGGGGATTTGGTTTGGCAGGAGCTTGAAGGGAGAAGCTCAAGAGAGGATCATGGGGATAGGTGGGGCTTTTTTTTGCTTGGAAGAAGAAGGCCATACAGTAGAATAACGTACAGTTCCCTATGTTTGTAACATATTTCACGTGGATTATAACTCCAGCTTGGGCGCTTGCAAATACGGTAACAACATTCCAGTTGATGAGCTAGTGCGTAGAGCAAGATTTAGGCTGAACATGGTGACAGGTCCTGGAGTGGGAGTCGTTTGTTTTCCTCATTACGAGCAAACCTACTGCAGAATTGCTTTTGATGGATCGAAGAGCACGAATTTGTGAAGTTTTATTTTGGTTAACGAGGTGAGAACTCAAAGAGACCAGGATTTTTTTTAAAATGCAAGCGTTACCTGGTATTTAAAGGCTTACTGTATTCCTGCAGTAAGCCAATACAGCAGCATTAGCGCGTAGTGTTAACCGAGTCAGATGGGCAGAGTGATCCAGGTGTCTTGTAACATCCCCCCCAATTAATTAACTCCTACCATTTTTTTCCATTGCACATTAATTTATGTTTTAAATAAACCTTACTTTAAAAATCCCGTTAAGTTTTCGATCATTAAATGGGGGGGGGGGGGGTCACAAGACATCTGGGCCATCCTGTAGCGTGCGAGTGAGATGCACTGGAGTATGATTAAACTATTTTAAAACTAAATAATTTATTTTATTTTACCAGGTAAGGTAACCCACCACTAACCCACCACTGAGCTATGTAGCTCTGTTTTTTTTCATAAGCGACCTGGCCACAAATGACAGCTCAACGAAGTGGCTTATCGTCATCACGTGGACATTTACAGCAGCCAAATACTCTAAACGCACCCTCAAAAACCCCCTACCATGCAAACCGTGCCGATGGCAAACATCAGGAGAACATTATTACCCTGGCAGTGATGGCGATAAGTTCTTCACACACACACACGCTAAGAGAGAGGCCTCCTGTTAAACGTGAGAGACTCCCGGCGGTAAGCTGTTGTTACTGTATAGGGCACCGACCTGGGCTGGCACGACAGGCGTGGGGGTGGAGTGGCTGGAACCACGCTCAGCCGCTTTGCCCCACCCCCACCCCCCCCGTTTCTTTTGTTCAACCCCCCACCCCCCATTTATTTTGTTCACATCTCCTCCAACCCCCCAATTTATTTAGTTCACCCCCCCAACTCCCCCCCCCCCCATTTCTTTTGTTCACTCCCCAACCCCCCCCCCCCCCATTTCTTTTGTTCACCCCCCCCCCCATGTATATGAGGCTCGGGATATGTCTCCATTCCACACACCACTGGTGCTAACCATGACCAGGAATTGAACCCGGGGCACCTGGGTAGGTGGGAGCACAGTGGGAAAAACCGCCCGCTCCCCCCACGAAGGCACGCAGAGGCACGCTCAGAGAGGCGCGTGAAAGATGTTGGCTCTGTGCAGGTGACACCCCGACCCATCGCTTGACCAATAACACGACACATTTAGTGGTGCTGCTGCTGCTGCTGCGTTGACAGTGGTGCACGAGCACAAACAACAACAACAACAAAACTCAACGTGTTCGTCGATAACCCTGCCTCGCCTTAGACGGAGAAGTATATTAATATAATCTGTGACATTTTGGGCAATGGCTGTTGTTAAAATGTGTTTTAGAGAAGGGCCATTGACCCTAACGTCATCACCTTTTACATGGTTTCCCCTTTTAAGGCCACAGTATTATGAACAAACGCGTAGGAGTTTTTTGTGACTTGAACAATAGGCTGACAGTTCAAGCAGCGTGCATTCCATGTTGCCCTTGCATCAGGTATCTCGACACCCATTGACGGGCGTGTCGGTGGGGGTGTGGGAGTTGAAGAGACAGGATGTGGAACGTAGTCCCGATTTGTAAAATGTTAAATTCCTCATTTTGACCAAAACGACGTCGCCTTGTCAATGTCGGCTGCACACGTTTAACTATTGCGTGAACGACTAACTCACCAAACAACAAATACAGGGCGACTATGGACATGACAACTGCAAGCGGCAACATTGCTGTACCCCGTACAGCGGGGTGACATCGCACAAAGCCTCCCATTCATTCGCAGTAATTACAGCCATTGCGAATAAGCTGTCAGTTTTAGTTTTACACGGATGAGGCAGCCCACTCGATATGTAGTCAGAGCGAAACCCCTGTCACATGTCGATGCTGAATTCAGTCATGAAAAGTCCTCTAAGCCACCGGGTGAGGATCTTTATTGGTCAGAATTTGATGGATACGTTGGCACGCGTGAATTATATATTTTTTGTAAACATGACAATCTCGTTGGGTGGTGGAGGGTTAATGACATAAAAATGTGACAAACTGCCACCGCGTGGCCTAACCCCAAAAACAAATATGGATTGTAAGTTTACACTGCTATGATATTGACATGAATCAGTCTTAACAGAAATCAATGAATGTTAAAAAATATTGACCTGAAACACGGTCACTGAAAATGAAAATAACAAAAAAGCACAAAAAATTACAAAATGAGCTCAGCAAAATGTAGCCCTTGAATAAATCAAAGGCGATGGGAAGAAGGCCAAGGACGATCGAATTACTTTCCAAACTTCTGTGATTGTCCTCCACCTAGCATCACCAGCAGGTTCCATTTTCACCAATCACCAGACGTGTGCATTGTGGGACAACGTTGGATGCACTGAAGAAGAATGTTGGTTAAAATGTGGAAATATAAATCAGTGAAGCCACTGTTTAACAGCGTTGCCACCTGTCCTGGTGTTAGCTTAAAAACAAAAACAGGACAATCTTGCCAACTCTCTGGAAATCTCCCCAGGACATTAAAATAAGAATAACAACAATCCACCACTCAAGACAATTCATTTATGGGTAGCGCTCCCTCGTCTGGTATTGTGGGATATTCTTTCCGTGCTATGTCTGGCATTTTGTACCTCAGGAGGTGGCAACCGGGCATTCAACCGTATTACATTTACGTGAGCTCACAGGTCCTCCTCTGTGATTGCTTCGCGTGGGTGGTGGAGCAGGCTTACCTGCGTGTCCTCCAGCTCCTTGTGAAGGGAGACCTTCTCTGTTGCCAGTGACTTCTCGGCTTTTTCTGCTTGCTTGAGAGCATCATGAGCCCGTCTCAGTTCTCCCTGGTTCACAGACACAGCATTGCCACACGCACGAGGTTAATGCATTTGCCCCATATATTCGCAAACGGTAACTTTGTTGCTGTATTCTTAGTTTTTTCGGTAAAGTCACGTTGAAGAGAAACAACGTGACTTTACCGAAAAAAACTAAGAATATGAATTACTGCAGTCACGAAAGCTTTAAATCAAAATTTGTTGCTGTAGTTTAATGTGCATGTTTTGATCATGGTCATCATCATAATGATCAATATTTATATTAGATGGGGACTAGCAATATATGCCTCGATATCCTAACTCTCAATCTCACTGTGCAGGCCTTAAAAGTTTGAATGTGTAATAAGATGAAGAAAATATACAATTAATTCAATACCAACTGAGATCTGGTGTAAAACCCCCAATATATTTTCAAGTCTATTTGTACAGAAACACATTGGGTAATTACTTACTGTACGTCTTGTCCAGCTGACTTAAATCACTCACAAAACTTATTTAGGTGCCAACATATCCTCAAGTGATAAGGTTTCAATGATCTGTACCTTTCCCATGACACTTGGCACCAAATCACGAACATACAAATTTTGCAAGCAGGAACACCACACAAACCAGGCTCTCTGTAGAACCTCTCCTGACCACACCAGGGGTGTGAAATTTCCTTAGCCAGAACCAAAGAGATGAGCAGAGCTCAATATTTTTCCATTACACTTGTGGCCTTTCCCTCGCCTGTTATGCAGGAGATGGTAAGTTCGATCCCGACCCTGACGCCTGCTGCATATTTGGAGTTCGCATGTTCTCCCCATGGTCACGTGGATTTTTCTCCGTGTCCTACCGGTTTTTCCCTCCACATTTAGAATCAATACACGTTTAAATTATTTGGCTTCTATACATTTCCACTTGATAAGCCACTTCGTTGAGCTATCATTTGTGATAGCCAGGTCGCTTCTGAAAAAGGGCTACGTAGCTCGGTGGGCCGTACCTGCTAAAAATAAAAAGTTAAACAGCAGTCAAAACTAATTCCGCTCAAGAAAATAATAATGATCATCAAGTCAAATAACACGAGTTTCACGTGAGAGTAACAACCGAAAACATGCGCAATTTCTAAGACCAACGAAAAAAGTGTGCGTACCTCAAGGGCAGACACCCTCTCGCTCAGACGAATGATCTCGGCGCGCAAAACATCCGCGGTGTGGCTTGTGCTGGGTCTGCTCGCCCCGGCCGGTCCTCGATGGGCCTCCCTCGCAGCAGCCTCCGTTGCCTGCAGCTGCTGCCTCTGCTGCGGCACGGCCTTGTTCTCCTTCAGCTGCCAATCACTCTGGTGAAAGCACAACGGGACCGAAAATGATTGTCACCAACTGCTGTCGATGTCCTCGTGGCCAAACGTCATCAAGGTTATATACCAGGGGTCGGCAACCTATGGCTCGTGAGCCAGATGTGGCTCTTTTGATGACTGCATCTGGCTCGCAGATAAATCTTACCTGACATTTCTTTAGTTGTATTCAGCGTTCAAAAATATTATATGGCTCTCACGGAAATTTATTTTAAAATATGTGGCTTTCATGGCTCTCTCAGCCAAAAAGGTTCCCGACCCCTGTTATATACCATCCGATGAATGAGCATGAGATACATGCAAAGGCTCGGTGAAGATTAACCTGCACTTATCATCTCCCTCTCTCTCTCTCTGTGTGTGATGAAGAAGGGCCATTGTCCCGAAACGTTTGCCATTATATAATTGTTCCTCTTTAGGGGCATTGTTATTAACGAATGTGATGAGTTTTTTTGTTATTTGTGCTTGTGCCGCACTGCCAAAGGAAGCGTCACGTTTTGTTTTGGCAAAAAAATAACTATTCTGGAGAGACAAGTGTTAACTTTATAAGTATTTTACAACTGTCGTAATTACCGAATAACTCTGAACTACAGTCCACTTCTGAAAATGCCTTCCTCGCCACGCTATCGCAGGTCAAACTGCAGGTGGCGCCATTGCCATTAATTCGATCGGGGTTATCGATTGCCTTAACGTTGTGGGGTTTTTTTTTTAGGATCGATCCTCTCGCTCCGCCGACGAAACACGTGCCCGATCTCACGGCAAGGAGAGTGTTCGAGCGACGGAACCTCCCGCACGGAACCTTTGCCAATGGCTTCCTCTCGTGGGCAAAATGCAACAACACTCTAAGACAGCGTCAAAGGCCGCAATTGTTGAGTGAAGTCGATTTTAGGGGATAAAGTGGTCCAATGTTTTATTGAGTATATCATTATTTTAAAAACAGCACTCATAAACGGATCAATTGTTTTAACAATTGCAACGTCAAACTAAGACGTGTTTTTAGACACGGCTGAGGACGCAATTCAACGGCCTCGACAAATTCGTGTGTCTAAACCGGAAACAAATTATATTCAAAGAGGTGTTATGAAGAGAAAAACATAATGGGAATTCCAGCATGCTTTGCATGTTAATATGACATCATCATCCCTTGGGGACATTATGCACGCAGACTTGCGATGACCGGAAGCTCAACACAGCTGAGATTGTGGCAATTATTGTATTTGGCCAGCAGTACAACCAGGCAACTGCAAACCGGGATGGTCTTTGTTCAGACTCATCGACACACTTTGGCCACCATGGCCTTCTGCTGTCATTTGTCCCTGCGGAACTTAAGTTGACGAGCCCACCTCTTCACCGTGAGGACAATGCTGACCCGCCCATTCTGGACATCTGCGAAAAAGAGCTTCATAGCTCATCGGATTCCTCCACGTAAGACAATGGGTTTGCCGCCTGTTCTGGTTTGCCCAGGGTCCTCTTATTTGACGTCGCCTTCCTGAGAAATTTGGTAAGCCTTCCAGGGACATCTAAAAGTTCCGTTGTTTGTCAGTTGCAAAATAATAATTATAATCATACACGACTAAAGACAACGCATTCACGTGTAGTTCTCCCCTCTTCCAGTGTTAGACATCCTTCTTAGACAGCCTTCTACCCCGCCTGGAATATAGGTCGTGGGATTCGATCCCGACCTGCAGTATATTTGGAGTTTGCGTGCCTCTCTCCCTGTGGTCGCGTGGATTTTTCTCCGGGTGCTCCGGTTTTCCCCTCCACATTTAGAATCAACGTCACGCGTTTAGGGTAAGCCACTTAATTGGGCTATCATTTGTGACCAGGTCGCTTGTCTGACAAAGAGCTACAGAGGTCAGTGGGCATTGCCTGGTCAAAAAAAAAAAAAAATATTCTTCCCACGACATTTGCCGAGGTTTTTGTACGCCAGGGTTGGCAACCCCTAACTCAGGATCCCCGCTCACATTGGGCGAGCGCGTGGGTCACTGGACGCGCGCACAGATCGAGCAGATCGAGGCTGCACGTGTGGCAGCTGTGGCAGGCTGCCCCCTACCCACACCTGCCCGGGCTGGGCACAGATGAGGGTTGAGGCGGGGGGCGGGAGGGTGCATGGAGAGAGGCGGTGGTGGGGTAAGGGAAATCTGTCCCGATGTGATTTGCAAATGAGAGTGCTCCGATCAATCAGATCAATTACGTTGGGGCGGGGTGTATCCCAAACTGTGGGCCCTCACCCCGAGGGGGGGAGGGGGGGGGAGGTTCCTGTTGACCCTGTTCATTGATATTAAATAAATAGGTACCCTGTCGGCTTAATTGCCGAAATAAACTAACATTTAGGTCCGTCGTTTGTCAGAATGACTTGCGTCCAGACCTCTCACATCTCAAGGCTATGAAGCCCGCAGAGTGATACCCCACCACTCGCTCTCTGTGAGTTGTGGGTGGTGGTGGTGCTACCACCACTCGCTCTCTGTGAGTTGTGGGTGGTGGTGGTGCTACCACCACTCGCTCTCTGTGAGTTGTGGGTGGTGGTGGTGGTGCTGCCACCACTCCCACAACCCAACTGCTGCGGCCCCATGTGGGATTCTTTTTGGCCGCGCAAAAAGGAGGTCGCACGGTTGAAAAAGTTTTCAGAACCCCTGATGTAGGATGTCAAGTTTTATTATTGCTTCCACGTCAGCATCAGAGCCGGCGGGGAGTGAGTGGTGGCGAAGGGAAACGCGAATTCGTGCGAGCTCCGGTAAGAATGTTTGTGGGATTATTTTATATTATTTTATTAGGGCGCCGCTCCAAAAAAAAAATCTCCCGCCGCCTTGTCACAGCAGCCTGCGCGGCGAACGTGATGCGTGAAACTCGCCGCGAAAGGATCTCGTTGTCAAGACACCGAGCGCGTTAAATCGAATGCGACGAGGCGACTGAAAGACGTTTCAGCTGAAGGCTTCCACAGGGCAGCTGCCAGGGGCTTGCGCGATCACTAGCAGCGATGCATCGGTGCGGAAGAAGACGGCTTCCGAGGGAGGACGCGATAAATTAATTACTTGAACTTCTTGACTGGGCTCTGTGTAGTGTAGAGAGTGGAATACTATTGGTGCGTATATATCACTGGCGTTCTTGTTGGGGATAGGAATTGTGGGATTTGAGGAAGGCAAGAGGAAGAAGGGACCATATCCTGGCAGGTAGGCAGAAAATGGGCCGAGTGTTTTTTTTCACAGGGAATGCCGGAATGCGCGGTTTATTATTGCATTCCGATTGACGATGTAGGCGTACATGAAAGTGGAACCTGCAGGCTGCAGTGTGCACACGTGGAATATGTTCTCAGAGTACCGACACGCAGTGCCCATATCTGAACTGGTAGCCCACCTCATGGGTGTCCAGGCAAGTGCACTGTATGTGCAGGTTAATCATATATCGAATGTGCAGGGACACACACACACGGCCACTCCGCACACAAAGGTAATCACTGCCTTTGTTTCAAAGATTGCACGGAAAATGTGTTTATGGATAAGGAGTTGCACGATACGTTAGTGATCTTATCCGTGGCATCACTGATAGGCATATCAATGATCCTGCTCGCTAACTTTTATTTTGTACCGACAGCCATGTCCCCTGCATTTCATTGGTGTATAAGCATTTTGGATACATGCAAAAAGATAACAGCACTGGAAAGTTCAGAGGACTTTGTCTGCGGATTTCTCAACAAATCTGGCTATTGCCAGATGAAGCGAGTTGTAATTATTGGCGAAACGTCGTACTCAGATGATAAATGTTGTGGATTTGCTCTCCAACACACCTGTGTGCTGTACTAGTAACGAAATGGCACGTCCTGCTTATGTAATACAACCTTACTAATTAGCTGTGTCGGGTGGTGGCGGGTTTAACAACACATTTACATTTACGCGATCTAACCCAAAAAAACCCTATATTATAGATGTCTTTCGTTTGCAAAAATGCAATATACACGGTTAGGTTTGGTTTGAACGACATCAATTTTGGTTCAGCTGAAGAGACATGGCAATGTGAGGGCTGATCATGGCTCAGCCATATTTAACAGGGCCCTGCACTGAATGTTGGTCAATCCAGCCTAATTGCAGACATGAATCAAAACCAAGACAAAGCTGTGTGCAGACATCCCTTTTGTATGGAGAGATATGAAGGCTCCCAGGATAAGGAAGCCATTCATTCATCACACAAATGGAACTTCTCTGCAGTGGGAAAATAAAATCCACGGTTGCACGTGTACATTTTATCAATCAGCATTGTAATTTTTTTTTTATAATTGTGACAAGACTGGCCACAGTGAGAATGATTATGGATGGCCTCTCACATGGCCATCTGGTTACTTCATGGGAAGTGCTGTCCGATTGTGTTATTAGTGGAAGAGTCTGTAATGTTGCTAAATCACTGGGCCAGTGGAGAGGTGCACTAATTTGGTCATCAATTTTTCATAACGCAACTGGAAAGAGCGATTAGGCACGCAGCGATTTTCACGAAGTATTTCCTTGCGTATTTATGTATTTGTGTATACGCTCTTGTCATAAAATTCACCACCTTGTGATGCACCGTTGATTCGGAAGGATTGGAAATCTCGGACTTTATTGTAAACGGTTACATTTTTAAGGTCAGGCGTTTATAATAAATAGATGCTACCGTTGCATAATACCAAGTCAAGTGTGCAATATTGTACCTAACGAAATCAGCGCACCTCTCCCTGCACGCGTGCATGTTCAGTGATATTATGTAACGATACTTCATCACGCTGGTCAGTGCGATTTAGTCAAGGCGAACACAAAGAAGTTGGGAGCATAGTACAGAAACAACATTGTATGTTATCGCACTGCTGACGAGGGAGTCGCATAGCAGCCTATTGCACCTGTTACGCGCATGGCGATTGCCCGTTCGAGTCCTATCTAGGCTCTAAATGCCGGCTTAGCTACCGAGATCTGATGAGATTGGGTGCATGCAGGGTAATCTGTGACCACCCCGTAGAGGCGGGAGTTACTGTAACACGGGGGGTTGAAGGCGATGGTGGCATTAAGGGGATCGGGGGGAGTCACTGGGGGGGACAGCCACGCAAGTAGCGGTAACAGCAGCGACATAAACATTTCGTTACAAATGAAGTAAAAGCACAAAGACGTAAAAAGGTGCATCACCCAGATGTTGGATGTGCTCTCAGGTCCTGAGCTCCAATGGCCTCCGCAAGCAGAGAATTTTGCTGCTATAAATTTCCACTTGACGATAAGCCACTTCGTTGAGCCATCATTTGTGGTGGCCAGTTCGTTAATATCTCCGAGCCACCGTGATGATGATGAGAGAGACATGTAAACTCCAAATATGCAGCAGGCATCAGGGTCGGGATCGAACCCACGACCTCCTGTATACCAGGCGAGGTCGTTAACCGCGGCGCCTCAACACCATGGCAGCAGCATCCACGAACTGAAATGGACTGCGATCCTGAACGATTCCCCCGCACACGGGCATCACCTGCTCGAGCCGCACGCGAGGGCTCCGCAGGTGGTTCTGCGCCGCTGCCTTGGTAAAGGTGTCCTGTGGGCCCTCCGTCAAGCCTCCTTCCGCTTCCAATAACTAAACGCGGGACGCAGGAAAGAGCAGCATATCAGACTGGGTGGTGATGTACAGTGTTTCATTTACATCAAGTCAATCGCTAAGGGAGCAAATATAAAATGTGCTCAATTGCGTGCCGCTACAAAGTTCTACAGTGCAAGCGCCTATGTGAAATGTTTACGACCGTGTGGTGTAAAAGGGACCGAACGTGAACATTTTGCCTTGCCTGAACACTCCTTGCGGAACGTGGCAGGGATGGTCCCGTGCCTTCAAGTATCGTGGTGTGAGGCAAATTGCGATGGGGATTGCCGATTGAATTTCGCTGGGATGGATTTGTACCACTGACTTCTCCGCGATCTGAATCCGAGCCAGATGACTCCAAAGCCTCCTCCTCCCCACTGGGCCTATCTTCCCCTCCGCGGCTCAAGACGTGCCTTCTCCCAATTTGTCCCCCGCGCGGTGATTTACGTTGGCTCCTCGCAGGCGACCTCGCTGTCCCCCACGAATCTAATTTATCTGCACACACCCGGGTTTGAGGCACTGCTGAGTTGTTTCGCCGATCTGCCTCTATGGCTTCGGTTTCATCGTGATGATTCAAAATTGTCCCTTGTACTTCGGCTATTCCGCCGCTCTGGGTGTCCCATGTCTCTGGTAATTGCTCGAATCCTATGTTTGCCATTATCTCCTTTGGTTCCACGTCATTAAATGACGCTTTGATTCCATTCAGTGAAGAAGAATGACGTGCTTGGCCAGCGCTCTCAGACTCATCCTTAACCCGTGACGCTCGGCCGTCCGTGCGCAACTGCGTTTGGCTCTCCGTCACGTCCGTGTCATTACCGCCTCCTGCACCTTGAGCTTTCACGTCGACTTCTAGGCTCCAGCTCTCCAATTGTTCGTCCACTGGCAAAGAATATATTTTGACCAGGTCCTTCACTAACCGCTTGGATTTGAATTTAGCGTCGCCCTCCAACTGCTCCGGAGCTGGCTGGCTTTTGATTCTAGCCCGTATGTGTGCCGGTTTAATCGTAAACTGTGGCGCCCTCTCTCTTCTCGAGGCGTCCACCCTCTGCTTTGCAGGCTCGTTGGCCGCTTGCGACTGCTCGCCTTCCGACTGTGAACTCAAACCGTCGTGCGTGCCCCTCACTCCTCCTCCAATCGGCACCGTTGTCCGCGTTGGTTTAGCAATCCTCGCTTTGCTCTCTTTCCTCGCCCTCGTCTTCACTCCGGCTCTGCCGTTCGCTTTCAGAGTATCCCCACCGCGCCCGCCATCCGAATCGGAAGAATAACCCGAGACGTTCCTCCCGGGAGAGAATGGGTAGGAAGTGACCGACTCGGAATGCTGCCTCGGTGGGCCCGGGCTCGAGGGTACAGATTTGGCAGGAGACGCGACCCTTGCAGTCTTCGCTTCTGAACGTGCACTGACGGGGAACACATCGGTCTGCCGGCACACATTAGGAGAGCACGTCGGACATCGCTGAGGGCGGCAGAGCAATTTGGCAACGCTCGTTGCCTCGCAGTAAGAATGGCCTGGGTTCGATTTTAGACTCGGGCGCCTTTCCGTGCGGCATCCGTGCGTTCTCTCCCCCGCCTGCTCTACGCGGGCTTCCTCCAGGTTCTCCAGTTTCCTCCCTGAACTCAACAATCATTCAACGTAACCGGGATTGGCCGAAGCATCCCAATGTGGAAAATGCACCTGCAAATTGCTCAGTTTGGATTGCACGTCGTGGCAACATCACCACCACCCCCGACGGCAAACACTTGGCAAGGAACTCCTGCAAGAGTCTTGAGACTCGTCGAGGCTCTTTCGGGGTAAAGCATAAGTAAAAATAATAACAACTGCTGTCACACCGAAGCTCAATGTGTAAGTCGCATATTGCCTCTTTTTTATTGACTAATTATTCATGAACAGGTCCCCATTTGGCTCGTGCCTACGCGTTGCACATGAGCCTTACTCATTTTTGTATCGTCTACAAGAGCTCCAGGTTTCCGTGGTGCTGCCGCCGCCGCCGCTGCATGGCCCTCGATGTGTGTTTGGGTCGTGTTGTCCGACGTTTCGCTCCGTGCGGTGGGAGCTGTGAGATTTTTCCCACCCGGAAAACTGTAGCGGATAGTTTACCAATCGTGTTTGTTTACATTGCTTTGTTGGTGTTTTAAAATCCGTCGATTGATTTATTTATTTTTTCGGAACAGATTCTCATTTACTATAGGAAATGTTTAATTTGTTACTCGCAGAGGTGAAATGGGTCCGCAGTGAAAGGTCTCGTAAGCAAAATGAGGCTATAACGCGACATTAGACTTCTCTGCGTACTTTTTGGTAGGCGTCACAGAAATGATTCATATCATGAAGGCAAACGTGTGACAATATACTCGATCATTTTGGCGCCACGTTACGGAGTTGCCTGTGTTACACAAAGAAACACAATTTCCTTAGTTCACCCATGCATTGAAATGTAGACGACTGCTGAGCCAAATTAAGAGGAATTCATTCTAACGTGCGTGGCTTACAATGCATTCTCGATATAATATTGTGGCCCCTTTAACGGCGACACAACAGCCGGACTGCAAAGAGTAATGTGGGGCGCTAAACATTACACTCGACTAGTACAGCCTGGGGGGGGGGGGGGGAGCTTTGTGTCCCCCTGCCAGGAACACAGCGGCTGCCGTTAAGCACCCAGACCCCAGGCTTGTGCTCTGAAGAGCTAAAAGGGCTTACGCGGCGCTCGGAGCGAAGCGCCGTCGTTGCGTGCTATTGCTGCCGCCGCGGTGGCGCTGTTTGCGCTGGGAGTGCGCGGAACCCGGGGGGGGGGGGGGGGGGGGTTGCTGCACAGGGCTGCGCTTTCTTACGCAGATACGCGTTAACGTGAGAACTACGCTCGCGCGCCCGGTGCCCTGGGATCCAAATGAATTGGGGCCGACGACAGTCTGCGTGACCCTCACCCCTGCCGAACTTACGCTCAGTGCGCTGTGATCTTTAACTTTTTTCCTGTTCCGATGACGGTACGTGCGTACACTTGCACGTGTATGTCATCAGTTTTTCTCCCGATTCAGTTCCGATGACGTAAAGGTATGTCATCCGAATCGATATCAGAACGGAACTGGACGTAAAATGCCATGCAGGAGGGCGTGTGGCACAGTCGTAGAGTGGCGATCGTGTCGCTACATTGCGGTGAGCACAATGTCTTTAAAAACAATGCGGCACTCCGCCTCTCTAAATACAATTAACGCTGAGCCGCTTGCATGTTCGGGGATGTAACCGCCAGACCCGGCAACTTGCAGACGTCTCGGAACGGGAAAGGAATAAGGGAGACATTAGGGCAACACCTCACTTGAATGGAACAAGTTAAGTCCACCACCCCCAGGCGTGGCGCTGTGTCGGTGCAGGCTGCCTACCAGCCCCGATTGCCAGCCACCATTATTAAAATAGCAAAAAGTGTGGATTTTCAAACGGAAGTTTTGGAAACGATGCTGCCGTGTACAACGTTGAACCCTTGTTAAGAATCACCTGTGCAGTATAGCCCTGCTGGCCCTCGCAACAAGTGTTCGCTGGTTTCACGCTTATTATTCGGACAATTAAATACATTCTTACAGTATACGTATGTACGTATGTTGAACTTCTTTTGCACCATACGTAGCCAACCGCGCTAACCGGACACTAATCGGGCACTTATGCAAACAAATGTGCTTGGCATGTAAGATCACTGCTTACACATTCAGGTTGGTTATGTCTGTTTTCACATTGACAAGCTTCAAATGACAAGATATTACGTGTGAATATAACGACTTAAAAATATTTTGCCACAGTCGTTTTGCTTTCTTATCACAATTGCTGTTGTGGAATCGGTGGGTTCATAGCGCAGTGCACTAACCATTGCACCACCACTTCACCATCCCGACAAGGCATATTGCATCTATAAATATATATCTGGAAAACATTAACAACTTTATCAATTTTGTTTACTCTCCAGGTAACATTTTTACACAACGCACATGCTGTCTGACAGACTAATTAACCCATTCCAAATTCGATGACATACATGTACCTCATCAGTTTTTCTAAAATAAAATCGCTTTATCGGTAGCGAGGCTCCCACACGGCCATGGCACAGTTTGGCGCCGGCTATCGTAGAGTGCGGCGGGCGTGTCGCTACGGTTCTCCGCGGTGAGTACAACGTCTTTCTAAAAACAACGGCGCTACTACGCCTCTCTAAATAAAAGTAACGCCGAACCGCTCGCGCGTTCCGAGATTCGGCGGTGAACGGGACCACCGCACCCGACCCTGCGACTTGCAGGCGTCTCGGAACGGGAGAGGGTTAAGCCGAAACAGCAACAACAGCCAACGCTGTACAAAATAGAAGCTGCAATCCAACCACCCCACGGCAGTCCCCCCCCCCCCCCCAATGCAGCTGCCTGGTGGAGATGTCATTTAAGCCACAGCGGCCGACACGTCACGCCAAACAACTCTTTAATGGCCTTGCCGCCACACGCAGCCGTGAGTTACAAATTACAATTAGAGAAGAGGGCAACACAATAACAACACCACCAAACAATTTGCATTTTGTCAACGCTGCCGGTGAATCGGAGTTTGCGTCTGGCACGTTCAAAACATACAACGGCTATTCTTAATCGCAATCTAAATGTGTGTTTACGAGTATATTTTCGTTATAAAACGAGAAGAGCACCGAGAAGGCAAAATGAAAGTCTTTCATCGACAAATGGTGACGAGACACCATCACACCTCCATCTCCCAGTTTGGGCACTGGGTGCTCGGCTCAGAACCGCTGGGTGGCATTGAAAATCCATGTCTCTTGTGGGTGGCCTGCACAGGAGCGCTGATTATTACACAAGCTTTCACAAGCCGGTGTGTTTTAAACAGAGCTCTCGTTTAAATAAGTCACGTTCGCCGTCCTAAAAATAGTGTAAACAAATAAAAAAATCTCAATTAGCTTTGTAGACTGTGCTTTAGTGCACTCGGGATATAATTCCACAGTGATGTGCCAACTATGTTGGGGCAAGTGCTGCCCCAACCTATGAAGGCCGACACGGAACACACGCCTGGCCATCCTTGTCTCCCCGGCGGCGATGTTTACACGTCGCACCACTCATTTGAGGCTGAGTCGACCTGGGAGAGGCCCAGGACCGGTTCGGTTAATCGTCACTGATGTTGGCCAGGTTCGTAGTGCGGTGTACTAACCACCACCGATCCCCACGAGTGCTGTGCACACTCGCATACAAAACAAAAAATCCCTACGGTAAAGTTGAGTCATAGGCTTCAATATAATGTGCTTGCTTCCAATAATGACATCGTGAACCCGAGTGGTGGTCTCAAAGTTACGTTTTAGCCTTTGTGGTGATGGCTTGGGTAATCGTGTACACATCTCAACATAATTATCAAATGCCGTCATCATCATCAATCGTCAATTCTCAATCACAATTAAGGCCCCCCCCCCCCCCCAAAATGGCACCACCATCTGCAATCCAATTAGCGTAAATTCGCACACGTGGCTTTGATTTCTTCATTCCATCACTGTGTTTGGTCTCCCACTGAGTGCGGTCCGTCTCTCAAATGCGGCGATTTTGTTCGTTGGTTCAAAGCCGTTAGTGTACTGAAATATAACACGATTTAGTGCTATCGATCACATGTATTAATAGATCAAATCTGGGGCCCTGTGATTCTCAGTATGTATTTGTCACCTCAAAATTGTACTATTGTGATGGAATTAACGCCACCAATTTCCTGATACAGCACTGCACTGGAGGCATCAATCATGCGACACTGAGCAAGTTGGCTGCCACGTGCTCTCTGCTCGTCCTGCCTGCCAATTTTCATTTGCTTCATGTCGCCTGATTTAGTCTTCTGTCCAATGTTCAGTTGCTTGGCTCCAACTCTCTCCATCCTGTCCGATCTTGTGCTCTCTTCTTCCTTTCGTACGTATGCTGAACGTCTTTCGCACCGTAAGCATTGGGAGGTAAACTGTCATGTAGAGAGATGGATATTTATTCAGGCAAGAGTAATGTTTACAATGTCACTGTACAGGTCATCAAGTCGAGTATTCCACGTGATAAGCCACTTCGTTGAGCTATCATTTGTGGCCAGGTTGCTTCTGAAAAAAAATCTGTATAGCTCAGTGGACCTTGTCCGGTATAATAAAAAAAATAGTTTAGTACATAGAAAGTGACGCGTCTCCTTTTACGTCTCGCGAGCAGTTGACAACCTTTACGTATGCACGTTGCACTTCTTTCACACCGTACATAGCCAACCGTGCTCATTGGAGGTGCGGGGGAAGGATATTTTACTGTATGGACCCCTACCCTTCCTTGAAGCCGTTAAGCAGCACCTCTGTATCTCTTAGCCTCTTTGTCAACAGCATTCACTCCAACGGTTCTTTAATTCAGCTTTCCCTCATGACAATGTTCCCAAGCCACGTATTTTTCCTTCTCTGGATTCTTATAATTTTACTTCTCTCCACGCGAGCCTCCATTTCTCATCACTCTCTCGATCCAATTGATTCTCTCCGTTCGACACCACAGTGTATGTGCGGTTAAAATGCATTTCCTCCCTGCCCTATAATTTCCCCTACCTTAAATGTTACGGTGATGTCATACTTATGAAATATGACCTTAATTTAATTATTTGCCTCCCTTGCATCAGGGCATGTTCTCGTCTCAATCTCACATCTCCGCTTCTTCCCCTATGCCATTTCTCTGGGCTTTCACCCAGGATTTGCTGGAGACTCTGCACTTCATCGCTGTGCAGACTTCTGTGGTCTGAGGGACGGCGTGGCGAGAGTGGCAACTCTCTCAGGGCCTTCCTGAGCCCCTGGAGCCTGCCTGAGACATAACGTCGGACGATCCTGGGGCCTGAGACACAATATCGCAACACGGAAACTCCCCTATCCCGTCTCTGAGAGCAGTGTTGCAAACTTCTTGAAGCGGAGTCACATGACAAACCTCAAAAAGTCACTAGACGTTGCTATCAAAAATGCCACTGGACAATTTGCCCAGTATTACATATAGTTTAACCTGGCACTTAACACACATTTGGAATCAATCCGAAATATGCATAATATACTCATCCCAGAAGGTCGCCAGATTTGTCACGAGTAGCTGTGACAAAATGTTGTCACCGGGGAAAACCAAAGAAGTTGCCAGGGCTAGCAACATCATCATCATCATCGCTCAGCTGGCAACACTGAGAGATGTGGCAGCGCAGGAACTCTGAGGCACGTGACCCACACGCGGCGGTGACAGGACACCCCTACGGGCCCCGCCTGCGACCACGTGCAGGATGCTGAGCGACGGTGAGCTCAGCGACGGTGCAGTGGGATGGTGGCTGGCCTGTTGAGAGGCCCATCTTATTCCTGCATTCTTTTTTCTTCCCCATGGTACCACTTCACCAGTGCTGTGGACTTCACTGCTGCTGTACCCAGTTCACACAACTGTCAACTCCTTATCAGTGCCGCTACCTTATTGCAGACCAATTCAGACCTTGTTGGTCACCCCGTGCCCTTATACATCTCAACGTTCATCCTACAAAGTCCCATCACAAGGGGGAAACACAAACAAAGAAACAAAAAATTTATTTGTCCGTATTGAAACGGCTGTATGCCGTATGGACCTGAAAACTCAATTTCACCTGGACAAGAATACGGGGTAAACCGTATGGGTTGACAGGTATGCCAGTTGCGCGTGTGCGTAAATTATTTTGCGGTTTCGTTTGCTCAATGGTATCCAAAATTCCTTGCTTCCCCATTTTCCCCCGCAGTGTATTGTGTTTCTCGGTTACATTGTAAAACACTTCGAGATGCCATTTCAGTATTTGAGCACTCGATAAATGCAAATCCTCATCCTGACGATAATAGTGGCATCAGGAATGTGCCACTCACGGTTAAAATATGACGGTAAGTCAGGGGTAAGTCTTCTTAAGCTCTCTTCCGATTAACCTGCTCACTTTATAATCCAAGCGGAGAACCCCGAGGTTCGGGTCTCCGAGTCGGTTAACTTGTCTTAGGCCGCAGCTGTGAAATTAGCGCCGAGCCAAAGCGGCATGCGAAACGATGAGCGTGGTGCAGTGAGCACGGCGCGGTGAGCGTGGCGTTGTGAGCTTGGTGCGATGAGCGTGGTGCGGTGAGCGTGGCGTGGTGAGCGTGGTGCGATGAGCGTGGTGCGATGAGCGTGGCGTTGTGAGCTTGGTGCGATGAGCGTGGTGCGGTGAGCGTGGCGTGGTGAGCGTGGTGCGGTGAGCTTGGTGCGATGAGCGTGGTGCGATGAGCGTGGTGCGATGAGCGTGGCGCGGTGAGCGTGGCGTGGTGAGCTTGGTGCGATAAGCGTGGTGCGGTGAGCTTGGCGCGATGAGAGTGGTGCGTGGCACGATGAGCGTGGCACGCGGTGTGCATGGCGGGCCGTGCGGTGCGGGCCGTGACGCCGGCAAGACTCACGGGGGCGGCGCGGGGCGGCACCGTGAAGGGCGTCTCGCCCGTGGGCCGGGGCCTGTGCTTGATCACGGCGTGCGTGTAGACCAGCACGCCCGTGTCACCGGTGCTGCGCTGCACTAGAGCGCTGCTCATCTATCGCACGCACACAAAGACAAAGATCCCCCCGTGTAGCCTTAACAGAATGTTGGGGCAAGTGGTTGGTGCTGGAAGGCCGGCGCGGTACACGAAGGGGGGGTGAGTAGCCAAGACCACGCCCGGCCGCCTTTGTCTCCCGAGTGGCGGTGTTGTACACACCGCACCAGGTACTCATTTGAGGCTGAGTCGACCTAGGGGAGGTGCAGGACCGGTTCAGACAATCGTCACTCGTTAACGATTCACACACAAAGACACACATAGACACGCACACTGACAGACAAGACGACAACCGACAACGAAGACAGACCCTCGGTTGTCTCCGTCCGTACGCCCGTGTACGGCACAGCCCTTGTCGTCAATCCACTGCTGGAAGAGGGCCACCCCCGCGCCCGTGCAAGCCGCGAACGCTATTAGAACGCGCCGTTGTTCACTGCGCTAGTCGGTGCAGTTGGTGAAGTCGTGGAGCGACCACATTGTGCTGCACAAACCCCGTGGCAAAATGTTTGTGCAGAGTCGTCACCCGTCCACGTACTATCCAGGCTGAATGCTGCTTAGCTTTCGAGATTAAAACGTACAGCTATTGCTGGATAAAGGCCTGCCCATGCCATGCCAGTCATGGGGGGTTGTTTGGTCATACCTCACCACTCCGGTCAGTGCAGGTTTGGTGAAAGATATCAGTGAACACTTATTTAACCCACGAGGCTTTTGCGACTAATGTTATTGATATTTTTTTGGGGGGCGTTTAAGACCGGAAACAGGAAGACTTCTTCACGATTATGTCAATGGCCTGATGAAGCTGGTTGTAATCACCAGCGAAACGTCGTGCTCAAATTGTAAATGTTGTGGGTTTTTCTCTCCAACACACCGGTGTGCTGTACTAGTACTAATTGCCACGTTTTGTTCACGTGACAAACCATACCGATTGGCTGTGTCGCGTGGTGGCGGGTTTAACGGCGCATTTACATTTACGCGATCTAACCCCAAAACACGTTACTATGAATTAACACTGACGCTAGCTGTGTGGCCACGAATTTAAGTCGGGCAGTGTGCTCACAACCGTGTAAATTTACATTACCCCATATGACTCCAGGAGGAGGAGAAGTCACATGAGGTGAAGTAATTAACTTGTAGCAGAGGCACACCTATAGACACTTGCCAAGGTGGGGCCCTCTCGAAATCTAACGCCGCATTCATGAAGGTCTTGTTTTCAGGCGCAGGAGCAGTCATTCCTTTCTGCAGATAATCTACGCTGAACTTTGGAATCATCACCGAGCCGGGGAATGTTTACGTCACGCAAAGCAGAGTTCTTCTTCAAATGATATTTGCCGGCAGGGACGATGTGCGTGACATAATGTATAACTCGCGTCTCCAGGCTTCTCACCTCTCCTGTCTATCTTTACTCATTCACTAATCTGTTACCTCTCGTCCACTGCTCTCCTACCTCTGCCCTGTTCCCCTGTTGTCTACATATGTCTACGTCTCTGTGAGGCACTGGTCTCAGTGGGACGTAGCTAGGCAGGCCACTCGCTCCGAGAGCCCTCGTGGGCCACATCTGACCTGCAAAGGCCGCCAGTGGGGGAACAGAAAAAAAAGCTTGGCATAAACCATGCCAGAGTAAATGGTGATCAAAAATTATGCAACGTTAGTTTTCAGAAAATGTGCCATAGTTGTACATGAACACTATACTGTGACACGCACACTGCACAGTAATTAAATTAAGTTTAACACACGGGCCTATGCCATCACCCACAGCATCTCCACTTGTGCACAGTGACAAATAATCACAACCGTAATCAAATGCGGTAAAACGACACCACTGAACATCCAAATAATCTCCAGTAGACACGACGGAGCAGCACGCACGAGTGACAACACTGTGACATTGCAAGGAGTTGATCATTAGTGTCAACCCCACAGGAAGTCTACATGAGAGACACAGAGAAGGCAATCTTCAATAAACCTCGGTTAAAATTTCATTTTTTTAGAACATTATTTTGTGTTTAGATTGTTGTCCTTCCCCTGCACTTCTGATGACCACGGGGGGGCACGTACGGTGCGAAAGAAGTTCAAAATACATACGTAGGCTCGAACAGAGACCCATAGACTTACACATAGACCCATAAACTCACACAGACCTATTTCTTTAGCTTGTTGTCCTTCCCCCACACCTCCAGTGAGTGTGGTTGGCTGAGTACGGTGCAAAAGAAGTTCAACAAACATACGTAGACTCACACAGAGAACCATTTCTTTAGAACACCATCCATCCCAGAAGAATTCCCTCATCAAAACTCTACACCATAGAGCTCGTTGTATTTCAGACCATCACCACCTTGCCAGTGAAATGGAGCACGTACATCAAGCCCTCAAGAAGAATGGCTATTCAGACTACACAATCCGTAAAGCTACCACCTCAACCGTAGGGAAAGAACCATCTGAGGACCCAATCAAAACCATCACCTTGCCATACATGGAAGAGGTCACCAAAAAGATTTCTAAAATCATGAGCAAACACAAGATCCAGGTACGATTCAACACAGTACATAAAATTCGTGATTTGATCCCTGACATGCAATACCCCAGTGTCTACAAACTAAGCTGTGCCTGCGGCAGCAGTTACATTGGGGAACATAAGGCAGATCTGAAACACGATATGACCAATACCTCAGCCGTGGCTGATCATTATTTTAACGTGGTGGGCATACACGAAATTGATTTTGCCAAGACGAAGGTACTCTGAAAACCCACTGGCTATCAGCAGATATATAAACACAGACACAATTTCAACCGAGAAGATGGGTACAAACTGAGCAATCATTGGACGGACGTTATTAACCTGTTTAGGTAATAACTGGCTGTGATGTTCCCTCCCTACCTACCTATGTGAGCAGTTATTTTCGACTCTCTGAGTTACATTCACTAACACAGCCACCGTTAGCTGTGTTAGTAAATGGCGGCTGGCCATCCTTTTCCACCTCCATGTGGCGATGGCTCTTTCCTAGCTCTCTCCGAGCTTACATTTACAAGCATCTCTAAACCTTTGTAAACAGCTCTCTGATTGGTGTAGACCTACTGCAGGTTACGGAGACCTCTCCTACATTAACATTAACTGCCCCGCCCATCTCTAAACCTTTATAAACAGCTCTCTGTTTATAAAGGTTGAAAAAGATGGCAAACTACCCTTTTTGGATGTCTTTATTAAAAGGAGACATGATGGTTCAATGAGCCACTCTGTCTACAGGAAAGCTACCCATACAGATGCTTACTTGAAACCGGATTCCCACCACCATCCATCCCAGAAGAACTCCCTCATCAAGACTCTATACCATAGAGCCCAATGCATTTCCGACCAGGAACACATTACCAGTGAACTCAAGCACTTACACCAGGCTCTCAGGGCTAATGGTTACTCCGACTACACAATCCGCAAAGCCACCACTCCAGTCATGAAGAAGGATCCTCTTGTGGAGCCACTCAAAACCATCACCTTACCCTACATTGCAGGGGTCACTAAAAAGATCTCCAAAATCCTGAATAAACACAAGATCCAGGTCCGATTCAACACAGTACATAAAATCTGTGATTTAGTTCCATCTGTAAAAGATGCTGTTCCAGACATACAGTACCCGGGCGTTTACAAACTAAAGTGCCTCTGTGGTAGTAGCTACATTGGAGAAACCAAACGACATATCTCGGACCGCATCCGCGAACATAAAGCAGACTTGAAACACGGTAGGACGAACTCCTCTGCCGAGGCAGATCACTGTTATAATTCAGTGGGCTCACATGACATTGACTTCTCCAAGCCGGAGGTTCTTTGCAAACCAACCCGCTACCATGAGAGATTCGTTCATGAGGCCATTCACATATACAAGCACAGAGACAATTTCAACCGAGAAGATGGATTCTGGCTTAGTAACCATTGGAAAGATGTTTTAAACCATTTCTGTTCTTAATTAATTGTAATTTTACGATGACCTTCAGACCGCAGCTCTTTCGCCAGCATTGACTCTTAATACCTCTCACACCACGGTTAGTGGTATGGTTTACAACATGGAGTATAATAGCGCCTCGCAGCTGTCTCTCTCCCCCTCCTCTGTTCCGACCATGGATGAACTCGTCCGTCTGAACGGGGCCCGTAGCTATCCGTGGTGCTGAAGTTGAGGGTAAGAATCCACCCATTTTTTCGCCATATAGCATTGTGATATATAACGACTTATTGTTGGTAGCTTAGCTGATTGGAGAATATAGAGTTTATTGATAACATTAAGGTAATTTATATTTTAGTTTTTTATTGGTTCACTATATAGTACTGTGAATAGCTCAGATGTGTAGGCCTTGACTTCAACATAGTCATTTCTGTGACCAGTCACTAGCTAATCACTCAGTTATTTCAATGCTAAATTCGCCTAGTTATTTCAATGCTAAATTCTCCTGTTTGATTTGTACTAAGTGCCTCGGTGAATGTGTATGCTCTGACTTTAACGTAGCTATTTCTGTGACCAGTTACAAGCTAATCACTCAGCTATTTCAATGCTAAATTCTATGCTAATTCCTTTGTCAAGGGGTGCCTCTGCGGATGTGTATGCTTTAACTTAGCTATTTCAATGCTAAATTCTATGCTAATTCCTTTGTCAAGGGGTGCCTCTGCGGATGTGTATGCTTTAACTTTTAACATAGCTATTTCTGTGACCAGTCACAAGCTAATCACTCAGCCATTTCAATGCTAAATTATATGCTAATTCCTTTGTCAAGGCGCTTTGTTTCCTCTCACACAGCTTAAAAGTCGTGATCTGAACGTGGATCTTTCACTCCAGCGCTGTCCTACCAGACAGTCTCGTCCCTTCACCTGATGAAGGCCGCTTGTGTTGTGGCCGAAACGTCGTGAGAATATTATTGTGTTATTTTATTTTATCAATTTATTATTTTATTCTCATTCTACGTGACTTTACCGAAAGAACCAAAGAAGATGAGCTCTCTGATTGGTGTAGACCTACTGCCGGTGTCAGAGACCTCTCCTACATTAACATTAGCTGCCCCGCCCATCTCTAAACCTTTATAAACAGCTCTTTGATTGGTGTAGACCTACTGCCGGTGTCAGAGACTTCTCCGACATTAACATTAGCTGCCCCGCCCATCTCTAAACCTTTATAAACAGCTCTGTGATCGGTGTAGACCTACTGCAGGTTACAGAGACCTCTCCTACATTAACATTAGCTGCCCCGCCCATCTCTAAACCATTGTAAACAGCTCTCTGATTGGTGTAGACCCACTAGAGGTTATGGAGACCTCTCAAACATTAACATTAGTTGCCCCGCCCATCTCTAAACCTTTATAAACAGCTCTCTGATTGGTGGAGACCCACTGCCGGTGTCGGAGACCTCTCCAACATTAACATTAGCTGCCCCGCCCATCTCTAAACCTTTATAAGCAGCTCTCTGATTGGTGTAGACCTAGTGCCAGTGTCGGAGTCCTCTTCTACATTAACATTAGCTGCCCCGCCCATCTCTAAACCTTCATAAACAACTCTCTGATTGGTGTAGACCTACTGCCGGTTACGGAGACCTCTCCCACATTAACATTAGCTGCCCCGCCCATCTCTAAACCTTTATAAACAGCTCTCTGATTGGTGTAGACCTACTGCAGGTTACGAGACCTCTCCTACATTAACATTAGCTGCCCCGCCCATCTCTAAGCCTTTATAAACAGCTCTTTGATTGGTGTCCGGTGTCAGAGACTTCTCCGACATTAACATTAGCTGCCCCGCCCATCTCTAAACCTTTATAAACAGCTCTATGATTGGTGTAGACCTACTGCAGGTTACAGAGATCTCTCCTACATTAACATTAGCTGCCCCGCCCATCTCTAAACCATTGTAAACAGCTCACTGATTGGTGTAGACCTACTAGAGGTTATGGAGACCTCTCCTACATTAACATTAGTTGCCCCGCCCATCTCTAAACCTTTATAAACAGCTCTCTGATTGGTGTAGACCCACTGCCGGTGTCGGAGACCTCTCCTACATTAACATTAGCTGTCCCGCCCATCTCTAAACCTTTATAAACAGCCTGCCTCAGCAGCTTTCTCCGTCTGTTTTCACCTGATGACGATTGCTTGTGTTGCAATCGAAACATCGTGATATTGTTATTATTTTTATTATTTTTTCTATCTCTGTGGCTTCACCGAAAGACCCATTGAATATGAATTCCAGTAACGAAAGCGTTAAGGGGCCGTTCATAAATGACGTCACGCACCTGGGGGGGGGGGGGGGGGGGTCAGACATTTGTGACGATGTGTGACGAGGGGGGGGGGGGGGGGTTTGAGAAATGTGACCTCACATCAAAATGCACAACTTTAAATAAATATAGACAAGACGTTATATTAATTAAATAGACTTTATAATACATGTTTTCACCTACAACATCAGAGTGCAGTGCCACTACAATGGCAATAGTTTAAAGCGATTTGAAGCATGTTTTATTTTTTTTGGGGGGGGGGGCAGAGCTTTGTGACATCATATTTGAGGGGGGGTCTGACTTTGTGTGACGAGGCGGGGGGGGGTAGAAAAAATCGTCCAAAATAGCAATCCGTCATTTATGGACGGCCCCTAAGTCAAAATGGTTATCTGTGCGAGTCTATGTATGTTTGTTGGAACTTCTTTCGCACCGTACGTACGTATATACACGCGTGTGTAAATACATACGTGTGTAAATACATACGTGTGTAAATACATACGTATGTACGTGCGCACATGCAATGGTGGCAAAAGAACGAGTCAAACGGTTACAATCCAGCGAGTGCCGAAAGCTCACAATTGAGTTGATCTTGGCGTCCTCCTCCTGCTGCATGCTGCTGGGACGAGATGACTGATGGGCTGGTGATGAGCTAGTGGTGATGGGGGCCCCGGGGTGTGGCGGCGGTCTCGCTGACTTGTCCCCGTCCTGATTTTGCCGCCCGCCCTGTGAGCGACATCACAGACGACGGTGCTGATGTCACCATCCCAGAGGCCGACAAACTCAACCACATACACGGCTCTCTCTCTCGGCCGTGAGCCCAAGTGACAGCGGTCGATGGATTTAAAAGCGAATGATTGGGTTATCAGATTGTTGAATCGAGGAGTCGGCCGTTTTCAAATCGCTTCTTGACTCTGCTGTTGAGGAAACACGTGTTTACGTGATGATAACACACCCGTTTTAGAATATGTACACAAGTAGAAGTAATAATCGCACTCCCTACAGTCGAAACCGAAAAGGATCCCGTCTGAAAAAAGTTAAGCGAGGGCTGTCCGTGGTAAACGCGTGTAATTAATAATAATTACCAGCAACACCCACGGACTTGGAACACGACCGCCCGTCCTGGCCACCAAACCCGCAAACCTTTTTGATCTTATACACAGCCCTGTCTCCACCTTTCTCTTGCCTTCGCTGGACTGAATATCTCGATGTGTCACTCTGTCTCTGTCACCCCTTCTACCTCTCCCTCTCTATTCCTCTCCTCCACTCAATCTCCCCCCCCCCCCAACCCCCTCTGTTTCTCTGTCACCTCTAACCCTCGCTCTCCTTATTCACACCTCTCTCTTTCCCGTCTCGATCTCTCTTGCATCTCCCTAATCCGCTCTCCCACACTGCTTGTCGATTTTCATCCGCTCTCCTCTTTCCCCGTTTCTCTGTCTCTTTCCCTCTTGATCTCTCTCTTTCCTCCCTCTGCTTCACGGCCTTTCACTCTCTCCCGCCCTATCTCCGTCTCGTCCTCCATCTCCCGCACCTCCCTCCTCAGTCTCTCTCCTCTATCTCACCCCCTCCCCCTCTCCCTAAAATCTCCCTCCCTCACCTCGATCCTATTTTTCTGATCTCGTGTTATGATGAGAATGAGTCCACTGGCTGGATGAAGGCCTCCAACAACGCTGCTGTGTCGCAGCCAAGGAGTAAGTTCGTTTCACTGCACGCCACCACCACCACCACCACACGAGTCATCACTCAGTTTGCTTTGGCGACTCGCCCACTGATTGTTTGCTATTGCCCAGAGTTAAATCGAGGCTGGGTTCAAAGTGCAGTGCTAACCCACTGCTGCACCCTAAACATTGTCAGACGCGTTACTGGGAGATGTGGTGGTAGTAATAATAATATACGATGCGTGTTCTTTTTTTGTGATTAGACCCCCACCCCTGATTAACTTGCCATCACAACTCTATTTACGTTTTTTACACTCTGTAAAAGCCAATTGCGCATTTTACCATGTTTGATTTATACATTGTTTACCAATGCTATTTTTTACACTATACTCATGACCATTTATCGCACGTCTATACTGGTATGTAAATTCATTTGACAGCGAAATAGTTGAATAAAGCACATATATGGCAGCGATTTGCACGCCGTGCTATGAACGTGGCCACAACAGTTCCACTTCTGGCTACGGGCTAACATCATTGACAATCGAACCGGTCCAGGGCCGGTTCGCTGTGTGAACCGGTCCTTGGGCTCCTCCTTTCTCCACCAACCCCCCATTGACCAAACAATCACCCAGTGACCGGCACTGTATAGGGAGGGATTCCTCCCCAAGAGAGTGGATTGACAAAGGGCTGTGTCAGTGATGGTAACTGAGTTGTGTCGCTGTTTCAATGAAAATGGCATCACAGTGCAATGATACTTAGATATTAAATACACACATTTATTACATACAGCATCTTATTTTTATATTTATAAAGACTTTTGTTGATTTACATATCCACGCGTACATCTCCCGAGTTCCTGATTTTATTGTCATTGTAAAGTTACTAAAATGTTTCAGCATTTTCGCCAATAAGTGTTTCATTTATATTCCATCTGCTTCCTGAACAAAAGCAAATACAGTAACAACCACAATTTATTTAATCCCACTTTAACTTTTAATTATCCCTTGATATAAAACACCGTCCATGAAACGTAATACACTACAATATGTAAACATTAAACTACGTACAGAGAAGTTGTGTACATCCATCACCGGGCCCGTTTAGCTACACAACATAGAGGTAATCATGGACAGAGAGTGATAATTCATTCGTAAGCTAAAATAAAAACGATAAAAAACCACAATAACATCATCACGGTCCGTGGAAAAATTCGACACCCGTTGCTGAACCATTCTCAGCAAGAAAATACATTCATGTTGAGCGACAACACCACCAGCAACAAAGAGAAAGATCCCCCGTGTAGCCTATAACAGACTATCGGGGCAAGTTGCTTGTTAGAGAGCAGCGCCGATGAAGGCCAGCTCGGCACACGAGGCCAGCACCACCACGCCCGGCCGCCTTTGTCTCCCCAGTGGCGATGTTTACGACATCGCCGCCAGGTAGTCATTTGAGGCTGAGTCGACCTAGGGGAGGCCTAGGACCGGTTCAGACAACACGTGACTGGTATTGGCCGCGAGCAAGATTCGAACTCTGATCGCCGGCTTTGTAGCGTAGCGCTGGAACCAACTAAAATACACGCGGTAGTGTCGGGCTATTGTTTTAAACATTATACTACACGTTTAGACGTCTCGTTGGCTCAAAATTAGCAATATAAATTTCCCGTATTAACTGTTCGCGTTTATTTTTACCTTTCGCGGCATTTCGATGCCTGTCACAAACAAAGTTCCCGATTTTTACCTTCAGATTGTAAAGAGCTCCTAACGACACACAGTTGTACTCCACGCGTTACAGCAGTTCTACAGCAGGGGCCAAACCTGGCACCCCGATCCACTTCGGATAACGAGGTCCCCCCCTCTCTCTCTCTGGGGTGTCTTGAGATGATGGGGAAGATGTCACCCGGAAAAAAACGACGACTACAACAGTATACAAAGCAAAATCAGAGAAATCTTCTGACAGCTCTTGGGTATATTATGATTATCATGAAAGTTGCTCCTGCAACACGACCACGTGGCAGAGCAGGACGCACAGTGAAGTGGCCCTCGCGCCTCTCTCAGCCAGGCAGTTAAAAAGAAAATCCGATAATCTCGGGCGACTTAGGGGAATTTGCCCAATAGTTCTCGCAATCTGCTTAGCAAGCGGTCAACTGGAACACAAAACAACAAACACGAGAGAGCACCACCGTGGCCTGGCAGTGCACTTTGGACTTTGCTTAATGCGAACATTTTAACGAAAGCTTTCAATCGTAAACTCTCGGCTTCCTTTGCGCTTGCGCGCACAAGTGGCCTAAGGGCGTTCTTCTATTCATGACATAACTCCGTTGATGTTCAGATACATAAAAAATAAACTCGTTCTTGCTATGGTTTCGTTTTATTTATGCTTTGTCGGTTCGACGCTGGTGTCGGGTTGCAAGGTGACTCGCTCACCACGTAAGCTCTCAGATTGGCCGCCCTGTCAGGTGTAGTAGTCATGCCCCGGTTTACGTCGGGGGATGCGTTCCTGAAAGGCACGACGATGAATATCGAAACGACGTAAAAGCGTGGGGGGTGGTGGTGGTGGTGACGAAGGCTGAGTGGCGACGGATAACGAGAAACGAGACGGGCGATGCTGCTGCTGCTGCGTGTGGTGGGGGTTGAGGCGACGCAGATCCGGGTGGCGGTGTTCACAGTAACGTGACGACGCGTTTGGGAAACGACGTAAAAGTGGGGGGCGACGTAAATCGGAGCCAATTGCCGTAACAACTTCCAAGGATAAGGACGAAACGTTCCTCGTAGGCTGTCAGACTTAACGCACCTTCAACGTGCTCGCAGCACAGGCAGCAGTTTCAGCCCCGTCCCCAGCAACTCGCAACCCGCAGCAGGGTCCAAGGTTCAGTGGCTTTTATAAAAAAATAACTCCAAAAGCATGAACGCGACCCCCGGGGTCGCCCTGCTGCTGCTGCTGCCGCTGCTTCCACTGCACGTGGAGCGACCACGCAGGTGGAATCTCACGCAGACACACGATGGGACGAAAATGGTGAAAAACAATCTTCTTATGATGATGATGATGACTATGACGATTATTATAATTTAAACTTGTAACTTCGCTACTCGCTCTCGTAAAGAGAGAGGACGACTCGGAGGTGCCGGGAGGAGGAACCCAGAGACGAGCAGGGAAGGCAGCAGCAGCAGCCAGGCGGGAAGCCGACGCCAGCAATTGCCCAAGCTCTGCGGGCCTCTGTATGTCGAGGTGTTATAATCGGCCAAAGCAGAACACCCGGAGAAAAATCACGTGTGCGAGGCGGCGCCCATCCCACGCAGATGGAACAGGTGGAATCCGCGCATTTATGCTGCACCGCCATCTCCTGGTAAGCCAGGGTTAGAGCACCTCCTAGACGCGTCGATTTTTGTCTGAGTACTCCGGGTTTTTTTTTATGCTATAATTTTCCACGTGATGATGATGAGCCACTTCGTTGAGCTATCATTTGTGGCCAGGTCGCTTCTGAAAAATAACTTTATAGCTCAGTGGGTCTTAACTGGTACAAAAAGAATAGTATAGTATAGGGCGTCGTGAGTGTTTGGACACCCCCATCACCCAACACATATCAGACAATAATTATTTACATTTGTGAGGTGCAATTGATCCGTGCATCCCAATGCGTACAAATATCACGGGTTTTTTTTAGTCTGCGTTTTTTTCCCTCTTCCTTCTTCTCGTCAACATCGGTGACATTGATGCTGACGATGGAGTCTGCAAATAATACCCAGGGGCACAGAAACAGGAAGCGAAGTATCGAGTGAGTAGCCACAGCAGTCGAGTCGACACAGGAGGATATCTGTCTCGCTCTCTGTTTGTTCGTAATGAAGTGCAGGGCGAACCCTCTCGGATCCTCTCCGTAGCCTCGGCGACAACCACCGGGAGCCGTTAGCTCCCCCCCCCCCCAACACCTCCAACTTCCCAACGCGTGGGGCTGTTGCCACTGAATTTCGCTGCCTCCCAGGAGTGTGCTGGCATGCCTTCCCAAGATGTTGTCTTGTTCATGTTTTTGTTTTTTTGTTTGTTGCACCCGATTCAAGAGCCGAATGGCTCACAGGGCTATACCAAATAAATGAAACTGAACCAAAAAAAATGAAACTGAAGCCAGCCATGTGCACAGACAATACACACACGTGCACGACACTTTTTTACTGGGTTCACCCTTGGGAAGATTTTTGTGATGCTGGAATGGCAGAAGAGTCGTGATGCGTGGGTCCTACGGAAGTGAAAAGACGATTCGTGGTAAAGTGTTAGTGAAAATTCAACTGGCATTCAAGAGGCATAGCTGCAATTACATTTATAACACTCATAAGGCCATCACTGTCATCACCACCGATGCCACCACTCCCTCACCATTCCTTCCTTTAGTTACAAAGTTGAAACCCCTCGGACAATGTCTACTCGTGCGACTGGTACAGCTCCCTGACTGGTACAGCGCCGCAAACATCACTGCTTGCTCTAATGCCCCATCTTTTAGCAATGACCCAACCTCTCTACCCTTCCAAAGTGCCTTATATAGCCGATACAAAAGCCGCCATGTCAATGCAATATGCAGTGCTTCATATATGGTGCCCTCTCCCGCACCTCCGATTAGCACGGTTGGCTCCGTACGATGCAAAGAAGTGCAACATATGTACATACATTCATATGGACCTCCTTCTCGCGACCCCCTATAGCATGCATGTAACTACCTAACTACATACACAACGCCCTCTGCTACGTACGCAATCTGGATTTTTTTTTGCCGACACGTGTAAAGGTCCATAAGAGGGTTTTTTTTTGGGTTAGATCGCATAGATATATAAATGCGTCGTTAAACTCGCCACCACCCGACACAGCCAATTAATAAGGTTCGTCACGTAAACAGAACATGCCACTTCGTCACCGAGGTGTGTTGGAGAGCCAAGCCACATCTACAATCCGAGTATGACGTTTCGCCAGTATTTACAACTAGTATGATGAATGATATTGGTCGCGAAAGCCTACGTGTTAAACTGACGTGTAAAAGGTATCGGAGATCCCAACTCTTAACCGCTGGCATCGATTACATTTTGCCGGAAACCTCACCTCAACGTAACAACGGAGAGAGAGAGAGAGCTTGCAGTGTCCCAGCCAATGTCCCCGACTTGCGAAAGCTGCACCGTCCGCTCACTCAGGTGAGAATGAGTGGCCCATTGTGCCGGAGGATTTTCACCTGCGTCTCCACCTGATACCCCTGGACATTCGGGCAGCAGCAACAGCGTGTTCATTGGCCGTCACCAGATTGCGTTGTTGTTTTAGTTGATGTTGTTCTATTTTGAGCAACACTGAGAGTAACCAACGTCGAAGAAAGAAATAAAAAAATGTTGCACATATAAAGAAGACGTTATTGATGCAGGCAGTGATTAGAAGGAAACTGGCACTATTTGGACACACGTGTAAGTATGGACAACAAGAGGAACATTAAAAGTGTGTTGTTGTTGTTGTTGTTTGGGGGAAATGGAAGGAACCTGGAAAGAGAGGAAGACCTAACAGAGAATGGCGACGCTGACGTCACAAGAGATTGGTGCCAGAGAGATGTGGACACTACTTGAGGATGGTGACACTACAAGACAGAGAGGAAAGTGGAAACAACAAATGACGAAATGTGCAGTGGACACCTCCGGGCTATCTGCCCATGGGTCGTGACTGTGACGATGATGACGAGAGCTGTCTTGAAATGTTTCATCATGCGGTGTCAAAACTTAAAACTCTCCGACAATTCTTTTTACTTTGCGTTTTACCATTTCACGTCATGCAGTGTAAATAAAACAGGGACATTAACGAGACTAAGCGGGAATTCGCTATAGGTTTGTTTTTGTGTTTAAATAGTTGTACATGTTGTAGAACGTGTATAAAAACAACGGCGAATCAACTGCAGTGTTTTTTTTATATATATTATTACAGTTATACGGCTGCAAATGAGCCTTCAAATGTATAATCACAACTGTTGTCACTGTATCATCATCTCCATTGTCGTCACGCAACAGAATGCCAATTTATCAACCTCGCTGTTGGTGCCATTCCTTTTAACTTGAAATCTGCAACTGAGCTTGTGTTTCCACAAAGCATCGTCAAAACGAGTCGACCGCATCGGTGAATTTGGCGGTCGCCGGTGAATCCTGCGGTGTATTGAGATTTTTTTCGTTTGTAGGCCTTCAACCCCATCGCGTCATCTCGTTTGAAGAGCAGACGGCGACGGTGGCCTCCGTGAATCTTGATCAAACGGAGAGCCAAATTGGCCAAGTTTCTTCGTTTGAAGCCGATGCAAATGCTGAACGTCACATTCACATTAAGACTTCGCAACACACAGCCCCCCCACCGCCCCAACCCCAACTCACCCGGCCCCAACAACTGGGTGGCCCGTAATGGATGGGCCGCCACCGACGTCGCCACGTAGGTATCGCTGCGGTCCCTTTGACTCGAAAACTCAGGCGGCAGCACAATTAGCTTGTGACAGATGGGTGAGCCCAGCGGTAAAATTAACATCAAATGGAGTCACAGGCAGTCAAGGCAGCCCGTATAATTGATTTGACGGATGACAAGACCCTAGGCCATGCCTGCACTCCGCGTGTATTTTTAATAGTCACATTGAATTATCTTTAAGTCATCCCTTATGAAAGCACACTCGTTTAGGGGTGGGGGGGGGGGGCAAACATAAACATTTTTTGGGCGTGATAAAAATAAATATGAACATTTTTCTTTTTACTTTTTTCATAAAAAAATATGTTTTTGCAAGTAATCAAAAGCCACAGACGACGAGCCTATTGAGTGGGGTTGTCACTCCGCTTTGTCGTGCCGATCGTTGTAAACGCGGCGGTGGTCTCTTCATTAGACTGGGGCCGGGCGAATCGGAAGCCCGCGTGGGATGGGGGGGGGACCCCCACCACACGCTTTGTTTTACCCGCGCCTCGGTATGCCGACTTGCTGCGGTGCCCATTGGGGGCCCCGCGATGTCTTAGGGAGAGTTTTACATCTTCATTAAGGATGGGACCAACAGTCAGCGCAGCTTGGAAATGTGTCTTCCACCCCCCCCCACACACACCACCACCACATTGCAACTAATGTTTGGCCGTAAGCTAAACATTCCTGCTCGTAGTCGAGTTTCTTTGCGTGCTGGGGAAAGTGTGCGTCGAAGTTTTGCCTCGATGCTGACACATTTTAGGAGAAAGTTCGCTAGAGTTCGGAACGCATAGGGGGCCCAACTGCTTGTGGCTACAATTAACTGCGGCTACAAATGAACAACTGCAACGGACATACAACCGTATTTTGTCTCCCACAGATCTCACACCGTGCAGCCACATCTGTCCATAAAACCAACGAGATACCTATTCATGTATATGTCCACGCATATGTCAATCTACCAGTTTATCCACTCGCGTACCCAACTGTCAAATGAGCCATTCGTTAGAGCCTTCAGCACTCTCTCCACCAATCAAATCTGTTCGTCCATCCTTATGCCGTTTCATTGCTGGAAATTAGAGCGGCGCGACAGGTAATTCTACTTCGCTGCAGGCGACTCGCACGTAAGCGGACACTGCCACCGCAATGTGGCAAAACATTCCCCTTAAATCATTTCCGTCCCTCTCGAACCTTTATGGCCACTTGAAAAGTGCGATGAAAACTTTTAGTGCCAATACAGAGCCACACGTTTAGAAAAAAAACAAAGTTACCGAAAAAAAGATAGAAGGCCCATCGTATTGCACAAGCCCCCAGGATACTGAAGAATGTAAGTGCCGTCGAGAAATAACGAATGTTGTTTATAATAAAGGTAGATCCCCCTTCAGCGCAGCCTCGGAGAGTCCCTATTACACGCGTGCGCATACGTGCGAGGCTCAATACAAACACGGCAAACAGACTTCAACGTTGACCTTCTAGAGGAAAAAAAAAACCCCTTCTCGGATGTAGGGAACATTTCTAGCTGTTCGTGCCACACCCAAAGGCTTGTGTATTCTCTGCGGGTATTTATTGATATACAACCGTTGTTGTTATTATTATTATACATATCTGGCGCGATGGGTGTTTGAAGCGGACAGCAAGTGACAGGCGTGTGGTTTACCGAAACGCGCCGAGAGCCGAGAAACAAATGTCCCATCTGCCCTCTTGCCCGTGGTCTCTCCCCTACCCCCCTCGCTTCGTGCGCCCACGCGTGGCGCGCCAACAGCACAGCAGCGTCCGTGACCACGACCACGGCGATTCCCCCTCCACAATCCTCTCCAGTAGCATGGATTGCTGCTTGCCGTGAGCTTGATAAAAAAAAATTGTTGGGGGGGGGGGGCAGGTGCTTAGATCGGGTAAATATAAATGTGTCCTTAAACTTTCCCCACTACAAGTAGTTCATATATGGTCGCCCTCTCCCGCCCGCATCTCCGATTAGCACGGTTGGCTACGTACGGTGCGAAAGAAGTTCAACATACGTAAATACATACATAATGGACCTCCTTCTCAAGACCCCCTATATGTAGCATGCATGTAACTAGCTAACCACACACACAACGCGCTCTGCTACGTACGCAATCTAGATTTTTTTGCCGACACGTGTAAGGGTTCACAATAGAGGTGTATTGGGTTAGATCGCGTAAATAGATAAATGCGTCGTTAAACCCGCCACCACCTGACACCGCCTTACTGGGTGGCTGCGGGTTACGACACATTTATGCTTACGCGATCAAACCCAAAAACTTTTATTATGAATAATATTGGTCGCGAAAGCCTACAGTGAGGGAAAAAAAGTATTTGATCCCCTGCTGATTTTGTACGTTTGCCCACTGACAAAGAAATGATCAGTCTATAATTTTAATGGTAGGTTTATTTGAACAGTGAGAGACAGAATAACAAAATCCATAAAAACGCATGTCAAAAATGTTATAAATCGATTGGCATTTTAATGAGGAATTAAGTATTTGACCCCTCTGCAAAACATGACTTAGTACTTGGTGGCAAAACACTTGTTGGCAATCACAGAGGTCAGACGTTCCTTGTAGTTGGCCACCAGGTTTGCAACATCTCAGGAGGGATTTTGTCCCACTCCTCTTTGCAGATCTTCTCCAAGTCATTAAGGTTTCGAGGCTGACGTTTGGCAACTCGAACCTTCAGCTCCCTCCACAGATTTTCTATGGGATTAAGGTCTGGAGACTGGCTAGGCCACTCCAGGACCTTAATGTGCTTCTTCTTGAGCCACTCCTTTGTTGCCTTGGCCGTGTGTTTTGGGTCATTGTCATGCTGGAATACTCATCCACGACCCATTTTCAATGCCCTGGCTGAGGGAAGGAGGTTCTCACCCAAGATTTGACGGTACATGGCCCCGTCCATCGTCCCTTTGATGCGGTGAAGTTGTCCTGTCCCCTTAGCAGAAAAATACCCTAAAGCATGGTGTTCTTGGGTCATAGGCAGCATTCCTCCTCCAAACACGACGAGTTGAGCTGATGCCAAAGAGCTCCATTTTGGTCTCATCTGACCACAACGCTTTCACGCAGTTGTCCTCTGAATCATTCAGATGTTCATTGGCAAACGTCAGACGGGCATGTATATGTGCTTTCTTGAGCAGGGGGACCTTGCGGGCACTGCAGGATTTCAGTCCTTCACGGCGTAGTGTGTTACCAATTGTTTTCTTGGTGACTATGGTCCCAGCTGCCTTGAGATCATTGACAAGATCCTCCCGTGTAGTTCTGGGCTGATTCCTCACCGTTCTCATGATCATTGCAATTCCACGAGGTGAGATCTTGCATGGAGCCCCAGGCCGAGGGAGATTGACAGTTATTTTGTGTTTCTTCCATTTGCGAATAATAGCACCAACTGTTGTCACCTTCTCACCAAGCTACTTGGCAATGGTCTTGTAGCCCATTCCAGCCTTGTGTAGGTCTACAATCTTGTCCCTGACATCCTTGGAGAGCTCTTTGGTCTTGGCCATGGTGCAGAGTTTGGAATCTGATTGATTGATTGCTTGTTCTGTGGACAGGTGTCTTTTATACAGGTAACAAGCTGAGATTAGGAGCACTCCCTTTAAGAGTGTGCTCCTAATCTCAGCTCGTTACCTGTATAAAAGACACCTGGGAGCCAGAAATCTTTCTGATTGAGAGGGGGTCAAATACTTATTTTCCTCATTAAAATGCAAATCAATTTATAACCTTTTCGACATGCGTTTTTCTGGATTTTTTCGTTGTTATTCTGTCTCTCACTGTTCAAATAAACCTACCATTAAAATTATAGACTGATCTATGTCAGTGGGCAAACGTACAAAATCAGCAGGGGATCAAATACTTTTTTTCCCTCACTGTACGTGTGAAGACTAGTGTAGGTTTATCACGGAAACAAAGCGTGCCAATATCCCGGCGTCTACAAACTAAGCTGTATCTGCGGCAGCAGTTACATTGGGGAAACTAAGCGACATGTCTCGGACCATGTTCGTGAGCATAAGGCAGATTTGAAACACGGTAGGACCAATACTTCTGCCGTGGCTGATCATTATTTTAATGCGACTGGCTCACTCGAACTTAATTTCTCTAAGACGAAGGTACTTTGCAAGCCTACTGGCTATCAACAAAGATTCGTTCATGAAGCCATCCATATATACAGACACAGGCACAATTTCAAACCGAGAGGATGGTTATAAACTCAGCAATCATTGTAAATGTCATCAACCACTTTGGGTCATGACTTGATTTGTGTTTTCTTGCCAACCTCCACCGTCAGCAGTGTGGGTGTATGGAGCGAGGTGTAATGATTGACTGAAGGCCCCTTGATTGGTGTAGTTGCTTGTCTTTCTCCTACATTAACATTAGCTGCCCCCGCCCATGCTGCTGACACACTTGGGCTACGCCCATCTCTAAACCTTATAAACAGTTTGCCTTTAGAGCCTAACGCCTCTTCTCCTGATGATGACCGCTTGTGTTGCGATCGAAACGTCGTGGTTCTTGTTTTTTAATTTTTATTACTGAAAGAACCAATAATAAGTCTACATTATAGACTGCCAGTACACTCACCGAGGTTAAGAACCAGGCTAGTCTACATTATAGACTGCCAGTACGCTCACTCAGTTTAATAACCATTGCTACAGTCTACATTACAGACTGCCAATACGTTCACCAGCTTAAAAACCAGGCTACAGTCTACATTTATTACAGACTACCAGTACACTCACCGAGGTTAAGAACCAGGCTACAGTCTACATTATAGACTGCCAGTACATTCACCGAGGTTAAGAACCAGGCTACAGTCTACATTATAGACTGCCAGTACACTCACCAAACTTAATAACCAGGCTACAGTCTACATTATAGATTGCTAGTACACTCTGATTAAGAACCAGGCTACAGTCCACATTAATTATTTTTATTTTTATTTTTTTTATTCACTTATTTTTTTACTATTTTTCTTACATCTACGTGACTTTACCGAAAGAACCAAATAATGTGAATTCCTGCAGTCAAAAACTGTACGTGCCAATTAGTTACTACTTCGGCACACCGGTGTGGTGAAGAGTAAAAGACCCACACCGTTTACAATTGACTATGAATAACAATGGTCGCCGAGGCGCACGCGTTAACCAGCCGTGAGCGTGATGGTTAGCGCACTGGATTTGCAATCCTCCAGACGTTGCAACTTCTCTCCCCTGTCTCTCTCCTCTCTCTGGTGGTGAGGTTAAGAGATCATGCAGATGCCCTGTTCTGCAGGCCTCATGGCTCGTCAGCAGATGCACGTACAGCAAGTGTTGTTGTTGTGCACTCATTCATTCATTGGTCAACATCCCATTGACGGACTTTTAAGATAGTCTGGTGACTCAGTGAGGCCTGTCTGTATAAATAAAATACTTATTATTCCCTGGCCATATTTGTACATTAATTAAACTTTTATCATTCATCTGCTCATTTGAAACTATGAATTATACACAGTCAATATTCATGAATAAAAACACTCAACTCACCATCCTCATTGATAGCACTGTCTGATAACAGTAAAACATACAACCAACTGCATCAATCCACACTGACCAGCGTGGTGAAATATGGTCAAAGAACCTTCACGACCCACAGAAATAATGTGGGAGGTCTTCATTTGAGCGATGGATTAACAAAGGGCTGTACATTGTATTATTGTTATACGATATGTTCACAGTTCAGGTCCTCGTTCAGACCAGAGCGAGGACAAAATCATTTACCTGTATGCGGAGACGACATACTTCCTGGTATGGTATCTTGAAAACGCAGAAGTAAAAACATAAAAAATGGACATTTGGAGTGTTTTCAGTTGACCTGACCCTCTTTACATTTTGAAACATTGAGTAGCGAACAAACCACACGTTTGGTTTCAACCTAAAAGTCAGTCCATGTCTCTGCCCCTCCTTTTTTTCTCTGTAGAAGTCAAAATATGAGACATTTATTGCTTTAAGGCAGTGTTAATAATACGGATACGGTGATGTTTTGTTGTAACACGTGCTATTTCAGCACTGCCAGTACCACTATCCTTCAGTTTTACATCGGCATCAATAATTTGGTTAGTTGTGCACTCTATAAAATGTTTCCAATGCTGTTAATTTCACATTTGCGCAATGGCAGACCAAGTTAAACAATGGTCGTACACATTTCTTAACACCCAATACCAAATGCAGCACTTTATTTTCATACGCAATTACCACGGCTAGTGGTCTTATTATGCCGGCCTACATAATTAGCCATATTCCAATGCCCTATTTCCCTATCATTTGATCTACCCCAAGGCAATGGACATATCCTCGTTGCCACTGATGACTCAATGCAGGCTCACTCAATGTTGTATTGTTATTTGAAGGGGTGAAATTTGGCTGTCTGCTTTCTGGAAAGCAACTCTTGATGGTTGTAAACATCTCCCACACGTCTAAACCATTCTCATTGTCTTCCATCATCGCCAAACACCACTTCCTAGTCGTCATTTGGGCAGCAGGGTGGTACAGTGGTAACACTTGCGCCTTACAGCAAGAATCGCCTGGATTTCATTCCTTGACTGCAAATTACTCTGTTAGGATTACACGGAACTACCAGAACCCCCCTGACAAAGTCTCGAGGCTTAGTGATACTTTCCTGGGTAAACGAGCATAAACATAAGAATGCAACTACAGTCTACCGCTTTGTTGACAAATTCTGGTAATGGCTCTCGACTAAAAACGTGAACAACGTTCATGTCCCCGCGTGACTGTTGAGGTGTCCACCCTGTGAGCCGTGTGTCGACCTGATGACAGGTTTCCGAAACGGAAATCTTGTCGCATAAAGTAGTAATGCGGCACTTATTTACTCCTATTGGTGCGTGTTATGTTCGCAAGATCTAGGAATCGTTTTAGTATTTTTTCTGCATTGAAAAACGTGGGTGTTTTCTTCTTCTAAAATACTGTACCGTATAACAATACATGACACGGTGTTGTCATAATTGTAGCGATGAAACAAAAAATCCGGTTGTGATCTTCACTTCAGAAACTAAATTAACCAGTCCGTCAGCATCCCTTATTATTTAACGACCAAGTGAAAGAATCCCCAATCGAGACACGTGGCACGTTTCCTCTTCGGCAAGGGCAGTCCGTGCGATACAATGCATCGATCCTCGGGATTCAAATGGATTTTTCCGCCAACAATGCACGCGTCGAATAGCAAAGGCGTAAAGATGTTTGACTTTCGATTACCTTTACGTTGCTTGTAATTGCTTCACGTGACCCCTGCAGCTGCTTGAGATTCCACAACAGCAACAATAATGGCCTATGCTGGAAGTAGAAGAATTGATGGCGGGGTAGGTAGGTGTGGGAGAGGCTCGTTTAATGCCAAAGCGCGTTCATCATGTCACACACACACACACATGGGCCCTTTCACGCGCTCACGTGCCAATGCACCGCGCATCTGACGCTTCACCGTTACGCCCCCCCCCCCTCTCCCAGAACGGGCCCACAAATCGCCAACCACTTCCACCCGCCACCCCCATTCTGTATACACGGGGACACCCCCATGTGTCCGTCTATATCTCAAAGACTAAAAACTAAACTATTTTTGTTCATTTACCAGGTAGGGCCCACT